ATCCATTTTGCAACAGCTACAATAAAATAGCATAAACACCTAGGATTAAACAAAAGAAGTGAGCTCTCTACAATTAAAACTATAAAGCACTGATAAAAGAAATTGAAGAGAACATAATAAACTGAAAAGATATTCCCTGTAGATTAGAAAAAATAATATTGTTAAAACGATACTACTCAAATTGATCTATATTTTCAACATAATCCGTAACAAAATATTAATGACATTCTGCACATGACAAGAAAAAAGCCATCCTGAAATTTGCACAGAACAACAAAAGCATCCTCAACAAAGAGAACAAAGCTGGAGGCATCACATTACCTGACTTCGAAATGCTACATAAAAGTACAATAACCAAAACAAGCACGGTAACAGCATAAAAATGGACACATAGATGGATGGAACAGAAGAGAATAGAAAATCTAGAAACAAATCCACACATTTACAATCAATGGATTTCCAAGGAAGTCACCAAGAACTTACATTGAGAAAGGAAAATCTGGATAGCCATATGCAAAAGAAAGAAACTAGACCCCTATCTCTCATCATATACAAAAGTCATATCGAAACAGCTTAAATATTTGAATATAAGACCTAAACCCCTGAAGCTACTCTAAGAAAACATTGGAGAAACACTTCAGGACATGGAGCTGGGCAACTATTTACGGAGCAAGATCTCAAAAGCATAGGCAACCAAAGCAGATATAGAAACAAGAGATTCTCTCAAGCTAGAAAGCTTCTACACAGCAAAGAAAATAATCAATGAAGTGAAGAAACAGCCTACAGAATTGAAAAAAAATATTTGCAAAGTATTCATTAGATGAGAGATTAATAACCAGAATATACAGGAACTCAAACTCAATAGCAAAAACCAAATAATCCAATTAAGAACAGGCAAAAGTCTGAATAAATATTTCCCAAAATATTCCTACAAATAGCCAACCGCTATATTAAAAAAGTTCAACAATATTAATGGTCAGGGAAATGCAAATCAAAACCACAATGAGAAATCATCTTCCCAGTCAAAATTGCTACTATGGAAAAGAAAGAAAATAACAAATGCTGGCAAGAATGTGGAGAAAGGGGAAGGCTCACACACTGTTGGTGAAATGTAAATTAGAACAACCACTATGGAGAACAGTAAGGAGGTTCTTCAAGAAACTTAAAATGCAACTATTGTATGACCAAGCAATCCTGGCACTGGGTATAGATCAAAAAAAAAAAAAAAAAAAAAAACGGAAATCAGAATATCAAAGAGATATCTGCACTCCCATGTTTATTTCTGCACCATTCAAAATAGCCAAGGCATGGTTGAACCTAAGTGTCAATCAATGAATGAGTTTTAAAAATGTGATATATATAGACAACTGAGTATTTTTCTTCTATAAAAAGTAATAAAGTCCTGTCATCTGCAGCAACATGGATGGAACTTAAGGACATTACATTATGTGAAATAAGCCAGACATGGCAAGACAAAATATCTCATTTTCTCACTCATACATGGGAACTAAAAAGAAGCTGATTTCATAGAGACAGCAAATGCGATAGTGGCTTTGAGGCTGGAAAGTAGGTAGAGAGGGATGAAGAGGGGTTGGTTAATGCATGCAAGATTACAGTTCAATAGAAAGAGTAACATCTAGTATCAGTTGCACAATAGGGCAACTATAGTTAACAATAATTTGCTGTGTATTTCCAAATAGCTAGAAGAGAAAATTTAGAATGTTCCCAAAATAAATAAATTTTTGAGGAGATGGATCTCCCAGTTATCCATATTTGAGCATCACATTGTATGCTGGTATCAAAATACCACATGTACCCCATAAAGATGTACAACTATATCAATAAAAAATGTTTAAAAAGCAATAAAGGGCATTTAAATTGCAAAAGAAGAAATCACACTGTCCTCTCTTTGCAGACAACATGACCTTATGTATCGAGAAAATGAAAGACTCCATCAAAATACCCTCAGAACTGATAAATTCAGTCAAGATACAAAATCAACATGCAAAAATCATCAGTGTTTCTATACAATAATGAACTACCTGAAACAGAGATCAAGAAGGTAATCCCATTTACAACAGCTGTCCACCCCACAAAAATAGACACCTAGGAATAAATTTAACCAAGGAAATGAAAGGCTTCGACAATGAGAACTATAAAACACTGATAAAAGAAATCAAAGAGGACAAAAATGGAACGACATACTATGCTTGTAAGTTGCAAGAATTAATATTGTCAAATGATAATACTATCCAAAGCAGTCTAAAGATTCAATGCAATCCCTATCAAAATGCCAAAATATCACAGAAATAGAATAAATGATCCTAAAATTGATATGAAAACTCAAAAGGCCCCAAATAGTCAAAGCAATACTGAGCAAAAAGAACAAAGCTTTTTATAGAAAACCCATAAAAATATTTTGAAAAAATATTTTTAAACTAGGCATCACACTACCTAATTTCAAAATATTCTACAAAGTTATACTAACAAAAAAAGCATAGTATTGGTAATAAAAACAGACACAAAGACCAATGGAACAGAGCAGAAAACTTAAATCCACTTATTTACAGGCAGCTGATCGTCAACAAAGGCATCGAGAACACGCAGTGGGGAAAGGGCACCGCGTCAATGACTCTTCATCGGAAAAGTGGATATCCACGTGCAGAAGAATGAAACGAAACCCTTATCTGTCACCACGCAGAAAAATCAATCAAAATAATGACTGAGTCTGGAAACTATAATACTAAAAGAAAACAGGAGAAACACTTCAGGACATTGGTCTAGGTAAAGATTTTATGGCTAAGACCACAAAAGCACAGGCAGCAAAAGCAGTGACAGACAAATGAGACTGCATTGGACCAAATTGCCTCTGCAGAGCAAAGGAGACACTTAATAGAGTGAAGAGACAACCTATGAAATGGCAGAAAATACTTGCAAACTATGCGTTGAAAAAGGAAATAATAACCCAGAATATGCAAGGACCTCAAACAACTCAACAAAAATATCACAAATAATCCAATTCAAAAGTGGGCAAAAGATCTGAACAGACATTTCTCTGACACTTATACGAAAGGCCAATAAAAATGCTCATCACCAATCACCAGGGAAATGCAAATCAAAACAAAAATGAGGTGTCATCTCACCCCAATTAGAATGACTATTATCAAAATGACCAAAAAAAAAAAAAAGTTGCTGTCAAGGCTGTGGAGAAAAGGGACTCTTATACCAGGCTGGTGCAAAAGTAATTGTGGTTTTTGCCATTAAAAGTAATATTTGGCTGGGCACGGTGGCTCACACCTGTAATTCCAGCACTTTAGGAGGCTAAGGCAGGAGGATCATGAGGTCAGGAGCTCAAGACCAGCCTGGCCAAGATGGTGAAACCTGTCTCTACTAAAATTACAAAAATTAGCTGGGTGTGGTGGTGGGTGCCTGTAATCCCAGCTTCTCGGGAGGCTGAAGTAGGAGAATCACTTGAACCCAGGAGGCGGAGGTTGCAGTGAGCCGAGATCCTGCCACTGCACTCCAGCCTGGGCAACAGAGCAAAACAAAGCAAAGTAATAGCTACCCACTCCCCGCAAAAAAGACACCTAGGAATAAATTTAACCAAGGAGGTGAAAGGCCTCTACAATGAGGCTACTTTTAATGGTGAAAACTGCAATTACTTTTGCAACCACCTAATTGTACCGCCATTATGGAAAAAAGCATGAGAGGTTCTAAAAATAGAACTACCATATAATCTAGCAATTGCAGTACTAGGTATTTATCCAAAGGATAGAAAATCAGTATATCGAAGGGATACCTGCAGCCCCATGTTTATTTTAAAAGCACTATTCACAAAAACTAAGATATGAAATCAACCTACTGGATTTTTTAAATGTGGTACATATACACAATGGAGTATTATTTAGCCATAAAAAATGATATTCTGTCATTCGTGGCAACATGGCTGGGCCTAGAGGACATTATGCTAAGCAAAATCGGTCAGGCACAGAAAGATAAATGCTACTTGTTCTTACTCACGTGTAGGAACAACAGGAAAAAAAAACGGATAGCATGGAAGTAGAGAGCAAAACTGTGGGCACTAGAGGCTGGGAGGGTGGGGAGAGGTCGGTCAACAAACACAGACTTAGGAGGAAGGAATCTGGTGCTCTGCAGCACTGCAGGGTGAGTCTGGTTCACTTTAATTTATTGCATATTCTCCAAACACTAAAACAGGATCTTGAATGTTCACAACACAAAGAAATGAGAAATGTATGAGGTAATAGCCATGCTAATTACTCTGATTTGATACTACACACAGTAAACACATAATGAAATATCACTCCGTATCCCACAAACGTGCAATTATCATGTGTCAACTAAACACAAAAGGAAAAAAGTATACAGATAAAAAAACAGATGCGGGGTCATCAGGGGTTGCGGTAGGGGTGCTGGGGTGACTAGAAGGGACATGAAGACACCTTTTTGGGAAACGAAACTATTCTGTATCTTGCTATTGATGGCCGTTTCATGACTGAATTTGTTGAAATCATAGAACTGGCTCACTAAATAGGGTGAATTTTTGCATCAATCGTACCTCAACACACCTGATTTTATTTTGAAAATTATTTTTAAAGAAATAAACTAGGTAAAACTTGGCATGTTGTTTACTGAGCAGTAACTGTTGTCAATCATAATGTAATTCAACCCATTTACTACATATGTTTTACTGGCACTCTGGCCTTCACCAATCCTCTTAATTAAATGTTTAGTGCCTACATTCCCACTTGAATCTCAACTCCATAGGTCCTTCCTTTTGTTGAATCTCAGCTTGTCACCAACTTTGTGGGTGACAGAAGTTCCAGAAAACAAAATATAAGCCATTCGATGAGTTATGTATCTGTTTCCTACCATGTACTGACAGTCATTTACTTTGGGGTTTATGGGATAAAGGCAGAGTTCTCTGAAGATCACTGAAATGTGTCCGCGGAGGTGTTTCAGTCTGGTTCCGTACCACATACCTTGTCCTGGGTTTGGCAGCGGAAACAGTCACATTCGAAGCAGTACTGGTCCCTCAGCTGCTTCCGGCGCTCCTCACTGGTCATCAGCGTATCCAGGTAGCAGATGGTGAGCTGTGCGGGCCAGAGAGAGGGAAGTGTTCACAAATCTGTTGTGCCCATTTCTTTAACAAATGGTTATTATTATTGCTAATTATTGGAGTGAAAGTTGTTTTTATTATAAGCCAAACATGTAAGAGAGAAGCTACCACTTATAGTTTCTCTACCCAAGTAATGCCATGTAAAATTTTAATCTATTCCCTTTTACTCTTTGTTATTTGGTGAGCACATATATTTCATATATTTAAAGAATGGGGCTTATGATCTCTGTACCCACTTCTGTATCTTACTTTTTTCGCCATATTAAATATCAAAAGCTCTTGTGCGTTTGGTATTACTGAGGTTTCCTAATAAATTCTATAACCATTAGCAATCAGAGAAGCCAAATTAATCCTGGCAACCAAATGGGTGGCAGATGATGCAGCCAGATTGCTCTTAAATTCTAACCAATTCTATAGCTGCCTCATGGAATTTAAGGTCATCCAAATTTGGTATCTTTCAAATGAGACAACAGTTCTCTTACTTGTAACTAGGTTTAAAAAAAAATGTAGAATAATTTCCAAATAGGGGAGAGTTTAACGTGAGAGTGCCATCATTTAGGGAAGCATTTAAACCCTTTTAGAGTAATATCCCCTGCCTTGGACAGTGGAGGGCTGTAAATGAGAGGATGTATTTAAAGGACCCCTCGGACTGCTCTCTAGCGCTGAGTCCCCTTTAGGTCACAGGTCTTTAGGCAACATCATAATGCTTAGCCATTTTGCACTTGATTAGATCTCTTATGAAAGTCTACCTCAAAATACAGAAAACAGAATGCTTGATCTTCCCCTCAACTTGTTCCAGCTCGGCTGGAGCTCTCTCTCTCAGTTGACAGAAACTCATCTTTTGTCTTATCCATGTTGAAGCCTCAGCATCATCTTTGACTTCACGCTTTCCTTTACACCTGCCATTGAATCCACCAGGAAATTCTGTGGGCTCTACCTTAAACATTACCAACCACTTTATACCATTTCCAATGCTACCATCCTGGGCTGAGCCATCATTACCTCTTACCTGTAAAATGCAATAGTCTCACAGCTGGTCTCCCTGATTCTTTCCCTAGGCCCCCTGCACTCCACCTTCTAGCCAGAGTGATTCACTTAAAGTATAAGTCAGATGACACGTTCTGTTTCAAACAGCTCCCCACTTTGCCTGAGTACAGGCCAGGTCCTTACAACTCCACCAGTGCAACTCGAAGTGTGGACCCCGAACTGGGGCTAGTGCACGCTGTGGGCCACCAGTCCATGATGAAATGAGTAAAGAAACACAAAGCCAGTATTTAGAAATGTTTTTTGCTAATTTGATAAGGGTAGTTTCAGGTGACTAATAATAAAACACTGGACTTTTTTTTAAGACTGGGCCTCTCACTCTGCCACCAAGGCTGGCGTGCAGTGGCATGATCACAGCTCACTGCAGCCTCAATCTGCCGGGCTCAGATGATCCTCCCACCTCAGCTTTCCAGGTAGCCGGGACTAAGGTAAGGCATGCGCCACCACACCTGACTAATTTTCTGTATTTCTTGTAAAGATGGAGTTTTACCATGTTCCCCAGGCTGGTCTTGAACTCCAGCAATCCTCCCTCCTCGACCTCCCATGGGATGTCAGGTGTGAGCCACTGCACCCAGCCCTTTTATTTTATGTCCTCCAAATGTCATTTTTCAAATAATTTAGCTTCACTAGATTTTATAAAAATACTGTCTGCAATAGATAAGGAAGGAAAAGAAAAACGGGTCCTTCATTGTCGTTAGAGACGCAATGGCGTCACATCCTCCCACCCTGCTCTCTCTCTTCTCTGCTGCTCCACCAGGCTGGCCTCCCGTCTGGCTCCACACACACTCCCACTCAAGGCCTGCACACCAGCTGTTCCCTCTGCCCTTCCGCCCAGTCTACTAGGACAGCCTCCCTCATCTCCTTTGAGTTTCAGTCAAATCCCACTTTCTTATTAAGGTCTAACCTTACTACTCTGTTAAAAACTAACAACCCAATTCGCTTCCCTTCTCTAGTTTTTCTTTTCCTGTAACCTATGTCAGCTTGTACCCTACTGTATAAATTACTTCTTTGCTTTTAAAAATAGAAAGTAATTATGGGAGTATGTGTGGTGGGGGAAGAAGTGAAGATTTTAGAAGAGCAAGAAAGCAGGATTATCCACTGAAGGAGATGACACAAGCTCCCTAGAGCAAAAAACTCCATGTGGTTTTTCTTATGCTTGAAAGAAAGCATCTCATATCTACAAAGTATGATCTTACTTGTTTCAAATCATGGTAGGGCAAAGGCGGCCATCCTCTTTGACAGAAACTGAAGCTTTGGGAAGGCCTCGCTAAAGCGATAGGGGTGCTGGTGGATGGCTGGGCTGGCCAGCCAGATCTGTCAAATCCACCAAGGTGACAGGAGCCACGGCCTGAACCGGCTGGCTGGCACTTTATACGCAGAATCAAGAGTGTCTGCCCTTGAGATACAGACAGCGATATTACTGAGCAGCTACTGCTCGTGGAGAGGCAGCATGGAACAGTCAAAACTAGCAAAGGTCTGGGATTCAGGCAACACTGAAGCTTGTGCTCAGATCTCGATTTAAGTCTGACGCTCTTTTTACATTAACATGGCCACTTCTCTCATCTGGCGGGAGAGAGGGCTGTAGAAGTTGGAGTCTCTTACGGAGTTTCTTCAAACCTAAAATACTTACACCTGTGTTAGGCAATGTTCGGGGGCAACTGAGAACCTTCAGCTGAGACAACAGCCACGTTTTAGTTTCATTGGTGTTTCTCTTGCTCCATGATCTGAAGCCTGGATTGCCTCTGAGACACAAAGGGTCACCTTGCCAGGCAAGTTCTCGTTTCTAATGAAAGCTATGTTCCAAATTCCAAATAACCTACTTCCAAGCACACTTTTCGAAACAGCCTGTGAGTAGGTCTGAGATACATTCATCTTACACTATCAGGTTCTGTGGGTCCACGGGAGGCGAGGCAGGAACTGAGCCCATTCCTACGTTCCCTCTTGGGTTAACTCTAGGACACTAATTCTGAATCCAGCCCAGTGCCTCTGAGTCACCAACTCCCATTATCAGAGGACATAAATGGACAGTAGTTACTGGGTGATTACAATGTGCCCAGTGTGAAGTCACAAACAGCAGGGCCTGTCACTCCAGAAAAAAATGTGCTTGACTAACCCAAGACTTTAATACCAGGGCCAAAACTCACTGGTGATCTTGTCAGCCAGTGAACGGGCAACAGCAGACTAGTTACTTCATTTAACCCCAATAAACAGACCCTAAAAGCCTCCCTGGGCATACTGTAACTGCCTGGAGCCATTACCTGGACTATGCAATGGTTTTCTAACTGGCTTCCCTGCTGCCTTCAGTATACCTTTCATCTTCTAAATTGCTTGGAGAGGGATCTTCTGAAAACTCCCATCTGATCACGTCATTTCTCTACATGAAAACTTTCCATGGTTTCTCACTGTCTATGAATAAAGGCACACGAGGCTTTCCCTCAACTGCTTTTTCTGTCTGCCTTTGTATTCTCCACGTCTCTCCCTGAGACAGTTATGTACATTGCTGTACCTCTGAAACAATGGACACCATGCCGATACGTGTCTGGCGTCACTGCCTACGCTAGCCTCTCCTCCAAACTCAGCTTACTGAGAGCCTCTCATGCTTCAAGCTGGGCTCAAATACACCTCTTCCCATGGGGACTGCCCCGTTACCTCGGAGACAGTGACCCATTTTTGTGCTTCTTTTGTGCCAATGTGTCAATGATAACAAATATCTTGTTATCAACTCTGAAGGGCTCAATGGCAAAATGTTTAATTCATATTTTTGGGGAAAAACAGCCAGATTACTAACTGGTAATGACAGCTAAAATCATGTTATTAGCCAAAGATAAAAACCTTTATTAAAGACTCACCAGTTGTAATGGAGTACCTGCTCGCTAAATGCAGGGCTCATTTAGTGGGAACATGTATCTGAAACTTGGCCATTGATCAGTTGATACTTAACGGCACAGAACAAAACTGCATTAAAATATTAACGCCGCTGACCACGCTCTGCCATTTTAGTGCAGCTCTTATGGAAAGCGCAGTAAATCATTTCTGACACTAGAGTAGTATCACGAAGGAGATTTTCTAGGTCTCCAATACATTACTTACATTAGAATCTCAAGACAAAATCAACTCCTTTTCCATGAAGCCATCTTTTCGTTGTCTGCAACTCGGTGGGGAAGATGACCAAATTAAAATTAGACCTTGTTTCATTTCTAGAATCACATGATCAGTTACAAATTTTTCTGTTAATACTGGCTCTAAACTGGAAAAAAAAAAAGCCTTAAAAATACCACTTCCTTTTAAAATAAAACCTGAGTATCATTTAGCCTCTTCTTGCTTCACAAATCCTGCTAATTTTACTTTCTAAATGTTACATTTTTCAGATATCCTATCACAAGCCACCACCTGACCTCCCCCTGACTTCAGGCTACCATTGTTATCTCTTCCCTGGATTACTACATTGCCCTGACCCTCATTCTCCCAACCTTGCCAACATACAAAACATGGCACTGGCATCTGGGGAGGGCCTTCCTGCCGCCTCATAACATGACGGAGGGCACCACATGATGAGATGGCAGGAGCGTCTCCTTCCTATAAAGCCACCAATCCCATTATGGGGTTCCCACCCTGATAACCTTATCTAATCTGAATTACCTCCGAAAGACGCCACCTCCACAAACCATCAACAAGAATTTGGGGTAAAGTTTCCAACAGATGAAATCTGAGAGACACATCAACAAAGGGCCTTGAAGGGCATATGACATTAAGACAAACAGACACAGTGGGCGGAGAGAGGGACAATGAATCAGGGGAAACGCTGTCCAGCTAGACGTACAAAACGGAATGGAGAAATGTCTCCTCTCTTAATAAGCTGGTATATATGAAGCACCTGTGGGGACAATCTTCTTTTGTTGAGAAGATGCCTTGCTAAGTACCAGAGGGGAAAGTACCTGAGTCTGAAGGGCTTCACACTGAGTGGAAATGTTTTGTATTTGGCAAGAGGAAGGATTTGCTTGTTGCTCCAGAGACGGAAAGAGAAAGATGTGAAAAGTCAAAGCAGCACCGAAACACAAGGTGTTTCATTCAACTAAGAGAAAACCAACCATGGAGAATACTTGGCAGCCAACCCTACGAAAATTTAAGAATCTTTGTTTTTGAAAATTCCAACCAATTCAAATTGTTTTTGTCAAGTTACTTGATTTCTTATTTGCAAAAACACCATCATCATTGACAACAGCAGCAGCCACTCTTGCTGAAAATAGAAAGTGGTCCCACTTCTTACTTGCCTTAAAGTCCTTCATGGCCCCAGGGGGCCCCAGGGAAAAAAAACAATCTAAATTTGCCATCTCAATGACATATATCCCAGTCTATTTCATACACTGGCCCTAAAATCTGGAAATTTAGCAAGTCGTTGTGTAAGAAGCGGTTCATTCCACTGAACATCACTTTGGGGAGGATCTTGTCAAAGCCAAAGCCCTGTCTGCATAAAATATGGTACCTCCGAGTTTAGGTTTTATTGGCTGAGTGCAGCATAAATGCAATAAACGCTTTTGATATTGTTTTCCTGGCAATAAATATCCACTTTAGCAAATTGGGAAGGAGAAGGAAACTGGTTCTAGAAAGAGGAAATTATCTGTAACTTGGAACTCAGCACGGGTGATCCCTGTGCAAACCAGCACAGGCTTACGTTCAGAGCCCCAGAGCAGCCCATCTGCAGCTGCCTTGTGAGAAGGTTCTTCACCAAAGGAGGCTGGCTGGGCAGTCTGTAATAGTGGAGGGGTCAAGGCCAGTTTGCTGCTGGAGGCCATCCTCCCTGCTCTCTATTCCCTTTGCCTCTTTGCTTAAAATGATCACTCAGAGATGCAGATGGGTTTGTAAGGTCCCAATGTCAGCCTGAAAGAGTATAAACTGTTTGCTTTATTAACACAGGTAAGCATGCATAACTACCTTCCAAATGCAATCAGCGGCCTTCCGAGTCAGTAAGTCCTGGGATCCCATTCACAAGCTGGGATGCCCTCCCTGCCCACGGAAGGATATGAGAGGCTGGCTGAACTGTTGCTACCCAGGAGATTTAATGATGTCCCTGCGTGTGCGTAAAGCACACACACCCTCTGTCACACACATAAACACCTGTCTCTCACACAGACAGGACAGGAGTTGTCATCACCCAGAAATACGGTGACCTCTCCCCTAAAAATTTAGCCCATTTGTAATTTGGGAGAAGTAATGATAGATTGCTGGGGAGAGGTAACTATACTACGACTATTCTCACTGGCACAAGGACAATGAAAAGTTGCCCCCTCAGGTACAATCAGTTTCAGGGCTGGGCCAAGCTGAGAGAGTCTTTGACGGAAAAGAAGCCAGGTAGTGAGAAGCATGGGTTTCCTTACCTCCTCTCCCACCTCGATGTCTCGGACGGCTCGCAGTAAGAGGTGGGGCCCATTAAACACAACTGAACAGTTGGGGTCACAGCTGTGATTGAGCAAAGAGATACTGGAAAAAAAAAGGGGAGACTGTCACAGCTCAGCAGGTAGAGTCAAATAACTAAATTTAACAAATGCAGTGGGTAAAAGACACCTTACTTTGGGTGGGCAGCAGAGGTAGGGTCGACAGGACACCAGGGATGGAGTACTTGGGGTGCATTCACAGAACTGCCACTGCGCACTTCCTATGAAGTTCAATTCTCCCCAAGATGGAGGGTAATTAGAGAATTCTATCATTTAATAATAATAAAAAAAATTCTGCGTCCTTTTTGGGGATTAGGGAATAGCTGACTGATTAGATAGCAGCCAAGAAGGCAACCCATCATGAAGGTGAGGAAAAAAACTGACTCACAAAGAAATACTCTGAGAGGGCTGGGCTCAGTGGCTCACGCCTGTAATCCCAGCACTTTGGGAGGCTGAGGTGAGTGGATCATTTGAGGTCAGCAGTTCGAGACCAGCCTGATCAACATGGTGAAACCCCATCTCTATTAAAAATACAAAAAAAAAAACTAGCCAGACGTGGAGGTGCATGCCTGTAGTTGCAGCTACTTGGGAGGCTTAGGCAGGAGAATTGATTGAACCAGTAAAGCAGAGGTTGCAGTGAGCCAAGATCACACCACTTCAATCTGAGTGACAGAGCAAGATTCCATCTCACAAAAAAAAAAAAAAAAAAAAAAAAAACCTCTCAGAGATAATGGGATGCAGCAGCCAAGATACCACCGGCCTTTCCCATAGGATCTCATTCGTTGAGCTCCTTTGGAGAAATGGCTGTCTTTGCTAGAACATCCACAATGAAGATTAATTAGGAGTATTTCCCCTTAAATAGACAGCTAATGTTATTTTGTCAGCTACATTGTGATGCATCCTGGGTCATGGTCCAGTCATTTTATTACCTGGGAGGTACATTTTTTACCATCTAGGAATCAAAATGGATTCAAGCTGCTCTCATCAATTGATACTAATTAGAATGAGTACTTATTATGTGGAAAGTTTCTTACATTTAATCCTCACAACAGTCTTATGAGGATCACTTGCTGGGCAACAGACTAATACACAGAAATCAAATGACTTGCTCAAGAACATACAACCAGTAAGTGGGGACAGAATTTGGACCAGGTGGCCTGAACTCAGAGCCCACGCTTTGAATCATTCAATGTTACTGCTTTCTGAGAACCACTACCGGTAGACCTGACCTATGGTTAATCACAATTGTGAGAAATAAGAAAAAAGGCGGGATTCTTAGATTCACCATTATTAGAAAGTCTACATTTGTATTTAGACTCTTATGGCATAAAAACAAAATGGAACTGGGAGTCACTGCAGTGCTTGTGGAAAGACAGTTTCACGGCTCAGCGGTGAGGGTCAGTCGGCTCAGTGAGAAAGCAGTCAGAGGCCAGAGCCTGAGAGTTTTCTTGCCTCCACCAGTGAGAGTTCAGCGTATGCCAACTCAAAAGACAAAATGAACCCAACTGATGTGTTCGGTGAATCTGGTGAAATAATCATGTGCTTCAGCTCAGAAAATTGGGAAATGAGATCAGTGGAGGGGTGACGGAATAACCAAAGATCAGCCTGATGGTTAATTAGCACCCACAGCCCCCTGAGAACAAGAATTTAGGTCTGAGATCTACCTCTTTGTTAATACCACAGTATATAAACTGGGGTTATAAAATTGTTTTCTTTAAACTTAACATTTTCCATTTTTTTTTTTTTGTAATTTATTGCTAAGTTTTAAGTTTGGCACTTGAACCAGCTGCTGCAACTGCCTTTCTAAGAACCCACAAAGGGCTGGGGATTTGGGTGGGAAGGAAAGCTGTGTCTTCCAGTAAATGAAGCACCATACACCATACCTAGGATATAGGCCAACACCAACTTCCTGCATCTCTGCATTACAGATGGTGAAAGAGTTGCAGATCACCTGTAAAAACAAGGAGGAAAATATCAGTATTACTAGTGTCACTTAAATTTCACAGCCAAGAGAATAAAAATTTTCAAAATCAAATGTAGGAGTGTCTTTGTAGTTGCTTAGGAAAGATTCAAGCCAAACACAAATGCTCTTTGATTTACAATAGAATTTATCTGGGATATACTCCCTCTAAGAACATCAGGTGGCTACGTGTAGAAATAACAACCTCCTGGGAAGAAAAAACAGACTTAAACCACCATAGGAACTATGAATTTCAGTCTCATTATCCACTACGCCCCAAGTTACAGTTACATGAAATGTTCAAAATTCAGAATACAAGTAAGCTATTTATTGAAAACTAGACCTCTACCATACATGATTTTTCAGTCAAACAGCATGCAGGTTCTAAATGCCACTGTGTAGCTGTTGAGTAAGAACCAGTTGTCTCTTATTCCTACAAAATGAGAAGTACACCCTGAGTGAGCCTGTGGTCCACGCTGACGAAGGCCACAGGGGGCACTGGAAGCCGTTTAGCCAAGCCATGGCATTCCCTAGGAGTCCATCACTGGGTGTATGGTACAGTCCTATGTCTTATGTGGAGATGGAGCAAGAGCAATAAAAAAAGCAGCCACTGTGCTTGAGAAACTTAAAAACCTCTTTTGTGAAATAAGATTGATGTATGAAGCCACGCAGAACCAGGGAAAGAGCACAGGATCACAGTCAGGAAATCTAGATCCTGGCTATCCATCGCTGCTTCGGCCAGGTGCTAGGGAAAGAGCAGTGAAGAAAAAACCCAAGTTCCCGCCTTCCTGTAGCTCAAGTTCTAGCTGAAGAGATGGATCTAAAAGAAAAAACAAACCCAATGACCGAAAACTGTCCCATGTAGATAAATACCAAGGAGAGAAACAAGGCCCCTGCAGAGAGACGGTTGTCAAGAGAGCCCTTTAGGATAAGCAGGGACCTGAAGGGACTGCTGAAATGGACGTGGGTACATACAGGCGATGCAGGTCGTATCAGGAGAAGGCTAAGTGCAAAGGCCCTAAGCTAGGAAAGCCCTTGGTGACAAGGACAGCAAAGAGGCTACTGTGACCAACGCAGTCGGTGAGCAGAGGGGCAAAATACGCGACCAAAGACTAGAGCCAGGTCACTCGGGGCCTCACCGCCACGCTGGATTTTGTCCTGAAGGAGACAGAAAGCCACTGGGTTTTGGGCCGAGGCGTAAAGGAATCTGACTTCTGCTTAAAAGGATTGTTCTGGCTGTTGTGTAGAGAATGGGCTATAAGAAGGTGAACGGAAGTAGAGAAAATGGTTAGGAGGTCACTGCTAGGGCCCAGGTGACAGACACTGGTGACTGGGATGTCAGGGGTGGGCAAAGTGGGTACACAGCCAGCAGGACTTACTGCAGGGCTGCTTAGGGGGAATGAAAGGAATTGAGGATAATCCTCGAGTGTTTGGCCTAAACAAATGGAATATCATAGCTACCATTGATTAAGATGAGGAAGAATTTAACAGGAACAAGATTGGTTACAGGGGGTTGAGAGGAAGGCCCACAGATCTGTTTTGGTTAAATTTTAAATCCAAGCAAAGACTAAGAATGAACAATTGAAGTTCACAAGGGGAGCTGCAGCTAGAGATACAAATTTAGGATGAAACATGACAAAGACCATTAAAAAAAAGTAGAAGAGGCTAAAGATTTGAGATGACAGTGACTACAAATGGGTGCTGACTTGTTACCATTTCTGTAAAGGAAAAGGTGATGACAAATTTCTCCAGTCAGGTTTACATGGAAGAACACGAAGTATGAGAAACACTGAGTCCGCTGAGACTCCTGCACTGCTCCCAGCAGCTTTATATGAAATCTAGTACAACCTATCATGATTTGCCATTTTTTTCCTCTAAATATATGATAAAATTGCAATTTCAAATCAGGGAAAAATTTGTACAGATATATTTGTAAATAAATACTGAATTGCTTTAAGGACATCTATTTTGCATTAAGATACAACAGTATATTATCTATATATACTTACGTATAAAACTGATGGTAAACTTATAGGACAAAAAGTCCTTTGTTTAATTTTTGAAAATTTTAAACTTTTTAACATTTTAAAATTTTTGAATTTTTAAATGTGTATGATTTGGGGAGAAATATAAGTTTTAACACATATGTTAAAGTATAATGAGAACTTCAGTTGAAATAGTCCGCAAACAAAAAAACCAGGTCAAACACATTTAATCTGTTAACTTTTGAATTAAAACATTGTTTTTTCCTGAACTATGAAGCAGATTAAAGATTTTTTCAAAACGGGAAAAATCAGTTTTATTCCTTCAGTGTATTCTGATGGATTCTGATGGAACGTTTAAGAAGGAAAAGCTAACAAGGGGAAATGTCAACTTGTTTGCCTCTTCCACTGGGAAACTCTTCCTGATTTTCTAACATGATGTACCTCTTTAGCAGCATTTATCATACTGGATCATTATCTGCTCATCTACTTGCCATCATACACAACTAGATCGTTAAATACTTGGAAGGCAGACATAGTGTTTCATTCACCGCCGTATTCCTGTACCTAGCACAAAGCCTGGCAAACAGAAGACACTAATAAACGTATTTTCTTTTTTTAGAGACAAGGTCTCCCTCTGTCACCCAAGCTGGAGTGCAGTGGTGCAATCATGGCTCACTGCAGCCTCGAACTCCTGAACTCAAGCAACCTGCCCTCTTAGCCTCCAGGGTAACCGGGACTACAGGCCTGCACCACCATGCCTGACTAATTTTTTAAAACTTTTTGTAGAGACAGGAGTCTTGCCGTATTGCCCAGGCTGATCTTGAACTCCAGGCTTCAAGTGGTCCTCCCATCTTGGCCTCCCAAATTGCTGGGATTACAGGAGAGAGGCATAGCTCCTGGATTTCATCTGTATTAGTCAGAGCGTTATGTGTTAGTCTTTCTGGGCTAGTAAATGGAAAGTTTAGTTTTTTGCCTACTCTCACGTTTATTTAAAATGCTAGTTCCATTCAGCGCTATTTCAATTAACAACCTGACAGGCAATATTTTGACATACACAACTGAAAGCAACAGTGGATATGTGGCAGCTCTCTGGCATTTTTTTTTTTTTAATGAAAGAATAGGTAGATAAAATGTCCATGCGTGCTCAGTAATTTGAAAGGAATTGTTCTTTATATCATGAATTAAAACAACGGGAATAAAGCCCAGAAATAAAAGTTTAAACATTTTTCAAAGTATCAACTTAGTGAAAACAATTTTCTTAGGGAACTGCACAGGTTAAAACAATGAATGCATACTTCACAAAAAGGTAACATTTAGAACAGAATATTAATGGTACTATTTCAATAAAAATAAATGTAACTGGGTTAATGAATTCTTTCTAAAAATTAAGCTTGAGGTTGGGTGCATTAGCTCATGCTTGTAATCCCAGCTACTCAGGAGGAGAATCAGGTACCGAGGCAGGAGAATCACTTGAAACTGGGAGGCAGGGGCTGCAATGAGATGAGATCGCGCCACTGCACTCCAGCCTGAACAACAAGAGTGAAACTCCATCTCAAAAAAAAAAAAAAGTAAGCTTGAATATTGCTTTAAAAGTTTTTACCATGTCTTCAAACTAAAACGCATATTTTATTATTGAATATAAAGTTATATGTACTTTTCATAATTTTCCTTTAAACTAACTGAAAGCCTTCATATACAACATTACAGTTTTTCTAGATGACAAAAATCTAGTGAGTTGTCATTGAGCCTCTGTGTTTTATAAAAACAACTACAGTAACATTTAAAATGTTCTGTGAACAAACTTCTTATGTCTTCTAGTTCAGAGTCTAGGTTCAGAATCTGACATTTGCGTTCTGAGGTTAAAAATTTCCCTGTACGATAGACACAAATAACAAATACCAACACACAAAGTGAATATCTCAAAAACCTTATAAAATGTGTATATTATCGTGTATTCAAATTTCACATTTTTCCTGAAATTCTTAGGACTAAAAGCTTTGTATTGTAGCAGAAGTTAAACTGAGATACTTGCAACACAAGAGAAAATCACTACCATGCACTACCTTGCAACAGTGAAGCGCAACAGCCGTAAGAGAACACACAATCCCAGCAGAGCTGAGCAATCCCACACCCAAAACACAAGAACCTGTCTGCTTCCCAGCCCCCCTCCGCTAATACACAGCCTATTTCAAGTAACATATATATATATATATATATATATAAATTACGTCTGTGTTTGTGTGTGTGTGTATAAATTTAAAACACATTTAAAAAGAAGGGAATTCAGTTTCTGAACTCAACTATAAAGTGGTTTCCTCAAAGACCATTTGCCTCTCCTTTAAAACTTCCCTATCTAAACAAAACTCACCAGTAGAACGTTTGGCACACAAGACTTGAGGCACATCAAGCTGACTAATTGAGGGACTAAATGTCAATTTTCGAAAAGGAGTTTAATGCACTTAGTTTTATTAAACTCTGGACAGTAGGAGGAAGAGCTGGCAGGTATGAAAACCAAAAGCGGAGGTTTTTACACTGTATAACTGCCTCTGCCCTCCCACTCCTAGAACTAATATTTCTCTAACTTTAAAAGTACAGTAAGCATTCTAATCAGGGTGTATTTTTCTCTACCCACAGAACCTGACCGGTTATTAAGTCAAGGTTTTCCTCCAGAATCTTCTCATAAACCTTAAGAGATTAAAATTTTATCTCCCAATCCCTCCTATCCGTATGGCAAATATTCACCCACCTTTCAGGACTCAATTCAGACCTTTCCTGTCCCACTCCCTCTTTTGGTCACACATTCACAATTTTTGCTAGCCCTAAGGAGAAAGGGTTTGAAATCTCTAAGCCAGAACAATAGCGGGAGGGAACCAGGTCAGCTCAGGAGAGGAGAGGAAGTACCTCCCAAATGATGATTCGCAAATCCTAGGATCCACATGTGTTTCCAGAAGACTTAGAGAGCACAGGTGATTTAGGCATCTGTTTCCATTTCCATTTTTTAAAAAT